CCTGGACCTTCGTGTTATCAGCACCATGCTCTAACCAACTGAGCTAACAAGCCAGGTACAAATTATGGCAAATTTTATTTTCAAATTTTAACTCCGGACAGGGGAGCCAGGACACCCGGGACAACCCCCAAGAATAGAGAGGTCAGTATGTGGATGCTGGAAACAAAGCCTGGAGCAGGCGCAGAACACCAGCAAGGAATGAGAGACAGACACCTGGGTTCCAGAGACTGTTGTGAGGGAACCCTCCTCTCCATGCCCAAGGCCAAGCCCAAGCCCCAGGCCTCAGGTAATCGGATTAGGCCAACTGCCTTGTCTTTCTGCTCTTAGCAAGAACAGCTCCAGCTCGGAGCAGCCCTGCCCATGCTGTGACTCAGGGTATAGGAGTGGCCCAACTCCCTCTTACCAGCAAATTTTGGGGAGAGAAGGAACAAAGCATAAGCCACCCTCCTGTGGATCAGGAGGGTACCTGAGCCAGGGGAATTTAGGAATGTCAGGAATTCCCAGAAAACCATCTTTGGAACACTAAAGAATGAAGAGACACCGAGTGTGGAGAAACAAAAAACAAGAGCCAGGGGCCAGGGAAGGTCAGTCCTAGAAAAACAAAAGGACCACACTAGAGACAAGGCACAGGAACCAGAGGGCCATTTGGATTTTTTTATTCTCTTTTTAAATACTGTACAGTGAAAAATAAATACGCCTTCTCATCCACCAGACAAGGTTGGTCCCCCTTCCCCTGGGGACCTTGTCACCCCCCTTCATACACACCCCTGGTTCTACTCCAAAACCTTCCCCATGCCTCCCACTCACTTATACCCTTACTATCCCCGTCTTCCACAGTGATGAGGCCCCAGAAATGGGGGGTACAGGATGGCAAGAGGGATAGCAGGGGAGCCCCCCTGAACTGTCAAATCTGGGTGGGTCAAGGAGCACCCCCCACCAACAAGCGGAGAATGGGGGTGTTCAGAGAGATTGGGGCATTAGAGGATAAAGGCACATCCAGTCTGATGGGGAAGGAGAGAGGCTCCCCTCACCCTGGGGGTAGGGTGGACAAGAGGGAGGGGGGTATGACCCTGTTACACACCCCTCCCTAGCTCCTGGAGGTTGGGGGGGGACCCAAGCTGCTGTGCCACCCCCCCTCCCCCTAGATAAGAGCAGCTCCAGCGCAGGTCAGTTGGGCCTGTGAGGGCCATGGTGTTGGGCAGCAAGCGAGATGGAGAAGGGAGGGATGCGAGCTGGAGGTTTTATGAAACCCCATTCACCAAACTACCCAACTCCAGGGGGGCCGAGAGCTCCCCATTTTCCGAGGGGCCCTTAGGAAGCTTGCTGACAGAGTCACCCTGATGGGGAAATAGGAAAGGAAGTGGAGAAAAGAAAGCAAGCAGTCAGTAGAAACTCAAGTTATGACATTCCTTACCATCTACGCCCTCCTGGCATCTGTGATCAGGGGTTGGTTCCCTGATCAGCTCTTTTCACTGTTACTGGGATCCAGAAAATGTAAAACCAAACTTTCTATTCTACTCAAACTTTGCACTAGTCAGACATAGCTGACTCTGCAATTCAATGACAGATTTCTTTGGGAATTTTCCTGTGCTCCCTGACCCAGAATAACAACAAAAAAAGGGGTGCAGTAAATTGTCTTGCCTGCCTACCTTCTGTCCTGAAAGAGAGTCCTCTGAGGGTTTAGTGCGTTCCAGGGGTGGCCGCTGGCGGCTCTGAGACTCTGCTCGTGAGATATAGTCAGCCACAGTCACTAGGGAAGGCAAAGAACAGAAGGTTCAGAAGGAGCTCAGGGATTCAACCCCAAGACACCAACAGAACGAATCCCAACCCTTGGTTTTCAAACGGTAGGAAGTATCCTGTTCTCTCAGCTCTGAGGAAGGATTATGGAAATCTGCATTAGCTGACCTGGCTGACGGTCTCCACTGACAGAACCATCAGTCCGGTTACCACGGTTACGACGGCGACGGCTCCGATTACGACGCTGGGGTCTTGATTCATCCTCTGTGGCATAGAAAAGAACAAGAGTCACATATCCAATTTCCCATCCCTCAATTCTTACCCATCTCTAATTTTTCAGACTCCAGGAACACCCCTCACCAAGGCCATTCTCTGTCATGTTGGGCCCATCAGATTCCAGGCCTCCATCCATGACAGTCCTGTCCTCGTCAGTGCGGCGGCGGCGGGAGCGGCGGCGCCTGGCACTTGCTGGGGGGGGTTCCCCAGGCTCTGAATCAACTGGGGGCTCTGGTTCGGATGTGTCCAATAGGCTGTAGGGGTTACTGTCTGGATCCTTAAGCACTGCTCAGAAGAAGAGGAGTTGGGAGTCAGGTGTCCATCATCTTGCCTTTGGCCCACATTTGTAAACCCAGCTGTCTGGTACCTGAGCTAATAGATGAAGAGTTATATCTTGAGGTGGGCCGGGGGGCAGGTGGGGGTCCCCTACCCCGGCCCCCAACTGGCCGCCTCCGGCTTTCTTCCCCTCGGGGTGGGGGATCCCGGTCACCAGGCCCAGCACGGTTAGGCTCCTCTCTCTTCTCTGACTCGGTCTCAGAAGCTGTGGAAGCGTCTGAGCTGGGACCTAAAGAATACAGTATGTTTTATTCAGTGCCACTCATCCCATCCTAGGACCCATCCCAGCCCCCAAACTGGAAGAACTCTCTCTCTCCCTCAAAAGGCTCCCAGGCAATCTCCATCACAGCCTTCCCCAAGTTTCCATCCAGACCTCTGCCTCTCCCCACAAGCCCTGCCACTCCTTGCCTCCCGCTCCCACAGACGTCTCACCATAGGCAGGACCACCTGTCCTCCGGCCCCGGCCCCGGCCCCCATAGCTGCCCCCATAGGTTCGAGTTGCATGGAGGGAGGAGGAGGAGCTCTCGTCAGTGGTATATCCAGCCTTGTCGCTGCCACCGCTGCCCCGTCCACTCCCAGGAGGGCGAAAGCCCAGTCCAATCTGCCGAAGCTGCTCATCAATTTGCAACCTCTCCAAGCGAAGCTGCTCAACCTCCTGGTTGGGAAGGAGATGGAGGAAGACATGGAAGGAGGAATAAGATCAACAGCCTCCTTCGTTCATGCTTCTCCACCTTGACTGTCCCTACATATCTAAGCTCTCAGGAACGGAAGGAGGAGGACATTGACAGTGAACAAGGAAAATTCTGGGACCCAACTCCACAGCCCCAAATTTCCACCAATGGTTCCTGTTCAACACAGAGAGACAAACTAGATTCCACAATTCCTAAGTTTATCCATCAGCAGTTTTAGTCCCCTTGCTCTGCTCAGCTCTTTCCTCTCCTGGGCTTCCAGCTTCTGTACCTGCAAGTAGGAGAGATGATATTCCAGCAGAGCCTGGGCATTGCTGATATTCTCTCGGGTGCCAACAAATATGAAAGGGACCATTCCCTGGAGAGGAAAGAAGGTAGAAAGGATAGTGAAGTGGAAGTATTAACCCCAACCTGTCTCCTAGGGGAGCCCACCCAATGGGATCATTCTGGGCTCTAAATTTAGAGGGAAACAAGTTTCTGTGGTCCACCCTCTAGAAGTCCCAGCCCCAGAGAACAATCCCAGCTACTTCTGGGAACCAATTTCTAGGCCTGGTTGCCCCATACCTCCTCCCTGGGGTTCTTCTTGTCATTATCGCCTTCCACTCGAACCCTCACCACACCAGATTTATCCACAATCTCCTGGATCACTTTCCCATTCTTTCCAATCACTTTGCCTGAATGGATAAAGGAGGGATTAGGCCTTTTTTTTTTTTTTTTAAAGGAAAGAAGAGTAAAAACAGATAAGGTAAACAGTCTTCCGGGTTCATCCCC